GAGCTATATAAAGGGCACACACACGGAAAGGCGGGGCCTCCTGACTGTTGCCTACAAGCCAAGGAGCCAAGGAATGCCCAGGGTTGCCCACACAGCTGAGACTGTGATGAAATCTTTTAGCCCCTTTGACTGTGAGAAAATAACTTTCTGTTCTTTGAAGTCGGCGACTTGTGGGATCTGTGTTAGAGCAGCACTAGATCACTAGGACAGTCACCATGCAGTTACAATTTAAAACAGCAAGCCACTGCCACGACCCCTCTAACAGAAGGGCAAGAGTAACAATAACCCAATCCCAGGCTGCCCACTGCCATCAAGTTGATTCCGACACACATCGAATCTATCTAGGATTTCTGAGGCTGTGAATCGTTACAGGAATAGATGGCCTCATTCTCCTTTGGAATGGCCGGTAGGTTTCAACCAATAGCCGTGAAGTTAGCAGTCAAACACTGACTTACTTGACAATGTCTCCGGGCTCCTTCAGTAAGCGCACAATATACTGTCAACATTGAGAAGTCGGTTGCATGAGAGCCACCACCCACTGCTGGTGGGAATGTAAAAGGACTCGAGTGCTTGAGAACACAGGTTGGCAGTTTCTTACGATGTTTAACATACAATCACCACACAACCCAGCAACCACACCCTGAACTGCTTATACAAGAGAAGGAAAAGCATATGTTCACAGCAAAGTCTGCATGTAAATGCTTACAGCCATTTTAGTCATGACTACCAAATACCTGAGACAACCCAACCATTCAACTGGGTGAGCAGATACATACATACATACTTACATACACACATACATACATACATACATACTTACACACATACATACTTACATACATACATACAAAGGAATACTGCACATCAATAAAGGAGAACAAAGCAGTCCTCCACACAACCAATATGAACCTCAAAAGCGGAGGGAAAGAAACCAGTTTCACAAAGTTGTTTACTGATACACAGAATTATCATACACCCCGGCAATGCCACTAGTAGGTGACTGAAAAGCAGAGACTCAAACAGATATGAGGGGGTACCCCCCAAAAACCTATAATTTCCCTCCCCAAAGCTATGTATTTAGTTTGTTTTTTTTTTTAACAAAATAACCTATCACCGTCAAAGTACTCTCCATTACACTTAATACATCTGTCAAATCTGCGATTCCACTCTTGGAAACATTTTTCAAACTCCTGTTTGGATGGTTGACAGCACCTCCCTCATTTCTTTCTTCACCTCTTCTGTGTCCTCAAATCATTGTCCTTTCATGTCCCTCTTCATTCGCAGAAACAAAGAGAAGTAATATGGAGCAAAGTCAGGTGAGTCAGGTGTGTGGGACAAGAGAGGCATATTGTTTTTTGCCAAAAACAGGCTCACTGAGATGGCTGTGTGAGCAGGTGCATTGTTGTGGTGGCAAAACCAGTCCCATCTGCCACAAATCAGGCCTTTCTTGTCACGCACTGTTACGCGATCTTTTCAGAACCTAAATAGAAAGCTTGATGAACAGTCTGACCTGGTGGCATGAACTCCAAATGCACTGCGAGTCCACATTTTTTATCATTCGGGAAGATAATGGATGTCTAGAATGAGGTTTGTCATCAAACCACATGTCACCATTTTTGAAACAAGAAAACCACTTGTACACTTGAATTTTTCCATAGCGCTGTCCTTGAAAGCTGTGTTCAACATCACAACAGTGTCTGCAGTATTTTTCCCAAGCAGGAAACAAAATTTCACAGCCACATGCAGTTCTCTTAAATTGATCACAAAATATGAAGCTTGAGCAAAACTGCTTTCACAAAAAAATTCGCTGTGACCAGAGAGAACCTTCCCAGGTGACACCACTGGGTGCACTAATTGAGAGTGAGTCGTTCAATGCTCACCTAGCAGGAAAAAGTACGTACTATGAAAGCCCTGCCCAGTGGAGTTTCTTCCATTTTTTGGAGGGTATTCCCTCATATTTTTACACCAGTGTTCACTGTAGCACTGTTTGCACAAGCCAAAAGGTGAAAACAACCGAAGTGCCAATCAAGAGAGCAATGGATAAAATGTGGTATCTGTAGACAATGGGATGTTATTTAGCACGAGGAGAAACAAAGTTCTGCTCTATGATAACCCTTGAATAATGCTCGTAAACATTATGCTGAATGTAAGAAAAGACAGGTAAATGGACAAATATTACAGGACCCCCACGTACTTGAAATGTTTCAAATAGGCAGATGTATAGTGACAAAGGTTATTAAAAGTTGCCAGGGTTGGGAGCAGAGAAAATGAGAAGTTATTGCTTTATGGGCATAGAGATTATATGTGGGGCGATGCCATTTTAGCAATATATGGAGCCTTGGTGGCACTGCCAGGTAAATTTTGGACTGCTAACCACAGGGTTGGTGGTTCAAGCCCATCAGCTGCTCCTTGGAAGACATGTGAGGCTGTCTGCTCCTGCAAAAATTTTTAGCCCCAGAAACCCTATATAGGATCGCTAGTAATCAGAATCAATTTAATGGCATCACATGAGGTTATAGGTATATCTATAACCTCAATTTTTGAAAAGGAAAAAATGTTGTAAACAGGATAACTATTTAGATGGCATTCTCAAAAAAAAAACATAAAACAATAGTGGTAGGTTTACTGGGTGTCGGGGTGGAAAGAGTTTTGACTATAGAGGCTGGGACAAGGGAGCCTGCCTGGATAATGGAACTGTTCTGACTGGGGTTCTGACTGGCGTCGTGGTGCTGTCCTATCGTGGGCTGTCCATGTGTTTACATAAATGAGGACCATCTGATGCCTCTCCAATCTCAAATTTACCATATGGCAATTTAAAAAATTCAATGGTTAGAAAAGTTGCCTGTCATCTCATTTATGCATTGCACTAATGAATCTAATGGAAACATATCTGTGAAATGAGAGCAAATATCAGAAGATGTATCTGGAATAAGCACACAGAAAGGAATTAAGAAGGGCAGGGACTGACAGGGCACTACTTGTATGTTTTGGTATGTAACAGGGGATAAATGACATTCTTGGATCACTGGGTGTAATCCAGTAATTTTTGTAAAAGGGCATGGGTCTGAGCAGGTCCACAGCGATTGGTTTCCTTGGTCTTCCATTTTGATCCTTCAGAAAGCTGTTGCTCAGATCGAGAGGCAAGGAAGTCCAGGCAGGTAAGTGGTAATTCCAAAGCCTCAGAGCCGGGGAGTAGGGTGAGCCTGGGGTTTCCCTTCTTTATTTATCTTCTCTGGTTTTAAGAATGATCTTCACCCTATGAGATCTGGCTGGTCCCTGGGGCTTGGGTGGGGCCTATCATCACTAGGCCTCCTACCCAGGGTCACTTTAAAGAATCTTCTTTTGTTACAGAGGGAGCCCTGGAGGCAGCGAGGATTGCATGTTGGGTTGCTAATCACAAGATCAGTAGTTCAACTCCACCGGTCACTCCCAGGGAGAAAGGTGACACTTTTTGCCCCCACAAAGGTTTAGAGACGCTGGCAGGACAAGTCTACCCAGTTCTATAGGGTCACTATACATTGGATCAACTTGGTGCCTGTGGGCTTTGGGTTTTGGTCTTTTATTATTGATCCATCCTCTTCATTCTTGCTCTCCCGATGGTTTTGTTAAGGAGCATGATAGGAGGTTGTTCCTCTCCATGCCTACGGCCCCAACAGGAAGTTGGAAGCCGGTAAAGGCTAAAAGGCATGTGCAAATTCAGGCCCTTGAGCCAGGAAGGCAGTACACCTGGGTGGGCCCCTACTGAAAGCTCGGCTTAATTCAGCCAATGTTATCAACCAGTATCGTCGACCACACCTCCCACCCTCTCCTACTGCTCCTCTGCCTTCTCTGGGGTCTCGGTCTCTCTCTCTCTCTCTCTCTCTCTCTCCCTCTCTCTCTCCCTCCCTCCCTCTCCTTCTCCCTCCCTCTCCCCCACCTCATGTTCCCAAGTTCCTGGGGGTGCAGTCCCATGTTCAGTTAACTGTAAAACCTGAAACTTCTATCCTTTATAAAAACCCACTTGGATCACAAACCAGGCTTCAGCGTGAATTTCTTTCTCATGTGAAGCCAAGGACTGAGGTATTTCTCAGCCAAAGAATCTAACAGAGTCTCCCCCTCTCCCATCATTCCATTTCACTGCCTCACCTGTGCTGCTGGACTAGGGTCACATGGCATGGGGGCCTTGGGGAGCATATTTAGGCTTGGGGTTAGGAGAGTGGGGGAAACCAGAGGATGGAGAACAGAAGCATCAAAGATCAATGAGCAATGATCCATTTCCAACAATGGCATCACAAATCACTTTTAAAGCAAGTCTTCTAATCATACAATTAGTCTTGGTAGGAAGCAAGCTGAGAAGAGCAGAGAAAGAAGGGGTGAAGCATCAGTGGCTCAGTGGTGGAATCCTTGCCTTCCTTGCAGGAGACCTGGGTTCCTCCCCAGTCAGTGCACTTCATGTGCCTCTCCTATGTCTCCATCAGTAGGGAGTGGGTGACATGCTACCATCATGATGAATAGAACAAAGAATAAAAGCCTGGAGATTTACTTATAGACATGACCCTACATAGGGGAAACACCAACAACCCCCCCAAGGTTACCATAGTCTACACTGCCACTGACCCTGGGGAGGGTAGAGGGCTGAGCAGTGCTTCACTCATTGTGCATGGGCTGAGTCAGAGGCCAAATGGATGAGAGCTAACACCGCTGCCACCACCACGACCACCACCAACAACAACAACGAGAGAGGGGAAGAGAGAAGATGAACAGAAAACCAAGGAGCTCAGCACAGATGAGGTGCAGACCCTGAGACCCAGTCAAGATCCAGGGACCCTCTTGGAACTCAGTCAGAACCAAGCTAATAGAAGCTGCTCTTTACAGCTGATGGACTGTGGCTAAGTCTCAGGTCTGAGTATCCAGCACGTTCTTGCTCTCAAACCAGCCCAGCAAAAGCACTTTCCCCGGAGGCTCCAGGATTGCCAGCCAGCAGGCCTGCCGGGAGGAGGCCACAGGGAGCAGGCACTTACAGTTCCAGGATGAGGATGACATCAGTCTTGCTCTCATAGACCTCGTGCAGGGTGATGACGTTTGGGTGCTGGATCTCCTTGAGGATGCTGACCTCCCGCTCGATGTCCTCCCGGCTCACACCCCGCCGGCTGGATCGCGTCCGCCTTTTCTTGATAAACTTGGCAGCATACTGGAGACCTGTGCTTTTCTCCCGGCATTTCTTCACGACAGCAAACTGCCCGCTGGAAGAGAAAGCAGGAGGTCAGTGGGCATCTAGAAGATGCTTTTCTGTTCCCTACACAAGGCTTCTGAAACTCCACGTGGAGCTGAGACCTGACTGCAGGGATCTCGAAAAGCCTGGCCGGACGCCTACCGAATCCGAGGCGCTTCTAACAATGCTTGGCGTGTGGTGAATTTCTTGGGCTAAAAGGGACTGAAAGTGGAAAAGGTTTAAGAAACCCGGCTCTAAAACGATAGGAATGGATGGAGTGAGGGTGTGGCCTTGAAGGAGGAAACAGAATGGGAGTCTTCCAATTGGGAGAAATGAGCAGATGAAGTAGGGATGTTTCTCACTCTATTTCTCTTTCATTAAGCCCGTTTCCTAACCAACAGTGACACCAGAATACAAATTATTGTCATGTATTTCATGAAATAGATCCTGATGCCTGCATTTCTGCCCCTCCTTGCCAATCCAGACTTGCCAAAAGCAGGAAGATGCTCCCTCATCTGACCCCACTTCCTCTTTCTATAGAAAGAGAAGGGAAACCAGGGCTTGGAGAAGGAAAGAGAGGGTAGTGTGTTCAACCGCAGGTTTCTAAAAGAGCCCCAGGAGTACACTGGTTAAGAGCTAGGCTTCTTACTGAAAAAAGGTCTGCAGTTCAAACCCACCCGCCACTCCATAGGAGAAAGAAGTGGCAGTTTTGCTTCCATAAATATTTACAGTCTTAAAAGCCCTGCTGCGGGACAGTTCTGTTCTGATTTGCAGCGCGGCTCTGAGTCAGAATCGGATCTATGGTAATGGGTGAGGTGGACTGACTTCCTTCTATAACATCAGTGAAGACCTGAAGGCAAAAAGGGAATTCCCCTACACTGAGCTCCAGCTCCAGACAATAGACATTTTGCCAAAACATTCCACCTGGTCACTCTTCTCCTTGCCTGATCTCTGGACCTAGGACCTTGACATATCTTGGACTTCGTGTGAGCGATTTCCTTGAAGTAAGTCTCTCTATAGATATTTGTTTTTGTTTAATTGTTTCTAACTGGCTTTTACTCTATAGAACTCAAAGATAACAGCTAAAAGCTGTTGCATTCAGCTTTGCTATTTCTTTCAGAAATAAGTCTCTTAAATGATGCAGCATATAATCAGAGCCTTCTTCCCATTTATAACATAGCATAATAACAAACATTGACACAGAATGATAAGGAGAGGCAGGCATATGGACTAACCTGAAGCTAAGTGACCACACTCAGAAAGACCCTCGGTAACGACCCTGGAGTCCCCCACCCACCCACCCAGCCCTCCACTGCACCCAAATAAGAATCTGCCCACCCATCCCAGCATTTCTACATCCCTTGGCACCTACTGGAGAGAGCGGCTATGGATAGAATTCCCACATCTATTTGTAGCTAGCTTTAGTCTCCTCACGTGAAAGTGAAAAGGGGAGAGAAAATTAAATTAAGGGATCATATTTTGATGGTAAAGAATGGATACGTTGGAGCATTACTCTTGCACTTCAGCAGTGGGGAGCCAATGAAGAAAAACAAACAGTGAGCGATTATTTTTGGAGCAGTGTCAAACTTTTTGCTTGACAGGTTATTAATAGTCCCTGTGCCCCCTACTGAGAGCAGCAAACTGAGAAACGGAATATTAAATGCTCACTCAGATGCCTGTAAATTTGCCACCTTAAAGAACGGGGGGATCTATTGCCAACATTTCCAGTTTCTCTGGGGAGTGAAGCACGGGCCGTTTTCTCTATCATTTATTGAGTTATCCCAAAACGACCCAGTGAAGCTCTGTACTCTGGTATCTCTGAGCATGGCTCTGTTTAAAAATGGCATCTTTAAAGATGCTAGCACTGAAGTTAATACCAGGTTAACGTAGCGTAAAACCCAATCCAAGCATCGTTCCTGTCTAGCCAAGTCTACAGACAGTAGAGCTGAGATCTTTATGGCTTACAACGCAGTGTACACAAAACCCAAATCCTCACACCTGGACCAAGACACATCATGATAAGCGAAGGAGGATTGAAGTTGTCACAGATCGCATTTTACTCGGGTACACCATCGACACCCAGGGAAGCTGCAAGCAGGACCGTTTACACAGCAGTCGCCCTGCAGGAGAAAATGAGGCTGTCTGCTCCTGTACAGACTGACCGTCTCAGAGACCCTCCGCCACCAGGCATCCAAATCGACTCTACGGCAGTGGGTGTAGCTCTGGTCTATCTCAATGCCACCCCTCATCTTTCCCAAGTGCCCCCAACAATCGGGCCCCGCATCTCCTGGCTTCCAACCATCCGTGCCTTCCACAGCCAGTGCTCTTTGCACCCCATGTGGCTTGGACCCCCAGGTTGCACATGCAGTCAGCACCTGCCTACTAACCTAAGGGCTGGCAGTGCGAACCACCCGCTGGCCATGCTGAAGAAAGAGTCGAGCCAGGAAAACCCTAGGGTGCACGTTTATCAGAATGGACTTGGTGACACTTGCGCTGGCTGCCTCATTCTTGCCTATACAAACCTCACCCCAAGCATTGAATTCCTGGAGGACAAAAGACCACCTGATTCTGCTCTATCTTTTGAAGCCCCAGCTGTGAATTCCCCCATGGGGCTGCTGCGCCTTTACCATGTCTCCCATGGGAGTCTATCACCTGAAGAACCAGGCGTGTACAACTGAAATTCCTTAAAATGCACTAATACTGTGCAATGGCTAGGCGGACAGCCTGCCCGGGTCCCAGTTCTATCTGTCACCTACTAGTTACATAACTTTGGGCTTGATGACTCACCACTTTATGCCTCAGTTTCATGTCCCACAAAATAATTATTCTAATAGTACCCACCTCGGAGGGGCTTGGGTGAGGTGCAGAGAGTTTAAATAAATTAATAGGTGTAAAGTGATTAGCAACAGTAACTATTTTATAATCCTTCTCAAAAAACTCAGGAGCCCTAGTGGAGTAGTGGTTACAGGTTGGGCTGCTAACCTCCAGGCCAGCAATTTGAACCACCAAACACTGCGAGGGAGACAGCACAGTTTTCTACTCGTGTGAAAACCTGAGTTACAGCCATGGAAACTCGCAGGGGCAGTTTTACCCTGTCCTCTGGGGTCACTTTGAGTCAAAAGTGACTTGATGGCAATGAACTTTTGCTGTTGTTGTTCTCAAATAACTCACTAGCAAGTCAGTTCCGATTCACAGAGATCCTGGAGGACTGAGTAGAATTTCCCCTGTGGGTTTCCAAGACTCTGTGAGGGGAAAGCTGGCTTCCTCTTTCTCCTGCAGAGCGGCTGGTGGTTTTGAACTGCTGACCTTGCAGTTAACAGCCCAACGTGTAGCCACAAATAACTGTTACCTGTTCTGACTCTTGTGGGAAGCAGTGGTTCAGTGGCAGAATCCTCACCTTCCATGCCGGGGACCTGACGGTTCTCAGTTCAGGCCCCACATGTGCAGCCACCACCCACCCGCCTTGTGTCAGTGGAGGCTGGCTGTGGCTATGGCACTGGATGGTTTCAGCAGATCTTTCAGACTTAAACAGACTAGGCAGAATGGCCTGGTGATCGTCTTCCAAAAACCAGCCATTGCGAACACTATGGATCACATGGTCCGACTCACAGTGCATCACAGGAGATCTTCTTACAGCTGAGTAACAGTTTAGTTCAGCTAGTGGAAAAGGTCTGCATTCAGATTTGTATGGGATTAGATTGACAGCAGCAATTCAAAAGAGTAGATAGGAACCTTAGGGGACGGTGAGTTGGTGTTAATGAGGGGAGTAGTCCGGAAAGGGAGGGTAAGACTGGCTGTATAACTCAAAGAGAGACCAATGTCACTAGCATGTAGAAACCCTCAGAAATCTGGCTGGTGCCCTCAGCCCAGGGACCACCGGGGTCCTTTCTAAGGGTCTTCATGGTTCTGGAGGTTAGAAGTCCGAAATCCAGATATCAGCAGAGTGGCTCCTTCCGGAGGCTAGGAGAGGGGATCAGGTCCACGCCTCTCTCTTCTAGCTTCTGGTGGTGGCCAGAAAACTTGGTGCGACTTGGTTTACAGCATCACTCAACCTCTGCCTCCATTGTCCCATGGCCATCTTTTCTCTCTCTCTTCTGTGTCTCTTCTCTCACATATCACTGAGCTGGGGTTAGAGACCCATCCTAGTCCAGGATGCCTTCAAGTTACCTGAACCGATAACTTCATCAATTGTCCAAATAAGGACACATTTACAGGTATCGCAGTTCAGGATTTGGACAAATCTCTCTGAGGACACAATTCCATTCACCACAAGCAATATCCATCTCATGTGCTAGAAAGCGGTTCTATCAAGTCCCCATCACAGATGCAGTCTTATCAAGAGAAGTGACATTTTGAAATTTCTGCCTGGGTGGCTTAGAAAACACTGTATTTCCAGTTCCTTCTTGAAACCGAAACATCAAGATCTGAGAAGTCCATGCTACCAGAGAAGTCACATTGTGCGGCCATCAACATGGTAAATGGCCAGCCACAAGTCCAGTCTTCACATGACCCCAGCCAACTCCAACTGAAACCACTTGAAAGATCTCCAGCGAGAACATCCCAGCTGAGCCCAGGGAACTCTCCGAAACGTAAGTGAGAAGAGGTCAAACTAGACTGTTGCTTTAAGCTGTGAGATTTGGGGATGCTTTGCTATGCAGCAGTAGATAGCTGGAACATTCCTGAAGGATCCCAAAGATCACCCTTTTGTGTGGACAGAGGATCTGATCATATGGTTGGGACCATAATTTGCCAATGGGTCAGGCCATGTGAATGTCGGATAGTCACATACTGGGCTCGCCCAGATGAGCCCTCTCTTCCATCAGAGGGTGGGGGCTCACTTTTCAAGCTCTGTGCTCCTTGTCTTGTAAGTCTGGCCCCTCACTCAAGGCAATGGCAAGAGAGTACCAGAAGGGGCTATGTGCTAGGCCCAAAAGATAAAATCCAGACACTGTTGCAAAACTGCCTTAACAGACAGGGACTCTGGTGGTTTAATGACAAGGTGTTGAGCTGCTAACTACAAACCCAGCCATT